TTTAGGTTCTATGTGAATCATATATATTAATTATTGTATATATATATGTATATATGTACATATATATATACTGAGGAATTGTAGATATATATATATATGTACATATAATATATATATATATATTGAGGAATCAGTTCCACACCACACCACCAGATCGACCTCAAAATCGAAGAGCGGAACAAATTCAGCCAGGTCTTCGGACGGCCGTGGAGCTTTCACAGCTCTCAGCCGCAACCTGAGTTCCTCGTCCTCAAGAGCACACGGGCGACAAAGTGTGTTTCTTGGCCGTCCAGGAGCAAGAAGAGACGCTGCAGCCTGGAAGTGAAGTGTGGATACCAAGAAGAAGTACTCAACTTGCAAAGCCATTTTGCCTCCATCTTCATGTCATGAATGGCTTGAGGAAAAGAATATCTGCATACAAACATGGTGCTTGAGGGGCCTGAAGAGTTGGTCGTCCTGTTTTATGGCTGTACTTTTAAGATGGGATGCTGCTGTACAGCGCCTCACCCGTTGGCTGACAAACAAGAAGAGTCTTTTGTGGGAAAGATGAGAGGACGAACACCGTGAAGGGGGTGAGCTAGGTGATGATTTGAAGTCCAAAAGAGAAGTTCCGTTCATTTTAGCTCCGTTCAGTGATGTTCTGGACTACCAGAAGACCATGAAAAGAACCAGTGTGTTCCAGGCATCCACCAGTGCATCCGGCACAGGCTGGGATCGAAGATGACGACATCGATGGCTGGAGTCCCAGTTTTCTCAGACGTTGTGAGGGGCCAACAAGACCCGCAGCTGGTACAGCTTTCACATCAGTGTTCAACACAGTTCACATCCTTTTAACAGCTTTCTGAAAGGTGTGCCACAGACTGGTACACTTGAAGATGAAGAGGCTGCGAAGGGAGGTTTCTGATTAACCATATAGCTATAGCTGTAAGCTGTGACATCCGATCAAGTGTTATCCATTGGATCGGTAGAGCTATGGCCTTGGAGCTTCTTCGCAGGCTCACGGCCACCTTATTGCAGCTCCGCGTGAAGCGCAGTTGGACACTGAAACCCGCCGCAAGAATGGTTGAGACTCGAGACTCGTGTGCGTCTCGCGTGCTTTTGCGGCCAGTTTTGTTCAGGTTGGAGATGCCTGATGATCAAAGAGATGACTATCAGGTGCGGCCCATTTCGAACGACTCTTGGATACTTGGTGGTGGGCGATCTATTGGAACTACTTTCCCCAAAAGCATGTGCCCAAGCCCTCTGACTACGAGCTCCAGCCTCGTGTGATGTGAGGCTGATGCACCAAGAACGCCGGTTGATCGAGGCCATTGGCGATTAACATGGTATGTTCTTTTGAGAAGTAGAGCCGCTCGGGAGACCTTTGCCCAGAAGATGAGGGGAGACGTTTGGCTCAAATCTCTTGAATGGTTTGGGTCGAATACCGGAATTTGTGTTGAGACACAAATAGACACAGGACACTTGGAGTTCGGCTAGATGTATGAACATATCAATCTTGAAGAAAGCCCTGTGCAGCCTGTTTTGAGGCAATGCTTCTCCAGTGGAATGCTTCTCTCCGCAGGCAAGCTGCCAGGTATTTGATAGTATATATTTGATAGTATATTTGATAGTATATATACTCGTATTTGCCACATGTCGCGACCAAACGTGGTCCGGTGAAGAAACATGTTCGAGCTGTGGTCCTCCACGCGCGCCGCCCAGGCCATGGCCGTCTTGGAAGCGAGACGCAAAGAGCTCGGCGCTCAGCGACCTGACCGATGACCGTCAGGGACTGGTGCCCCAGAAGTCCGTGGATTGGCAGGTCACCATTTTTAGGGGATCTGAATGATTTGGGGGACACCCCACCCCCACTGAAAGATGAACGACATGTCGACAGAGTCGCGGGCACTGCTGCGAACAACATCCCTTCGAGTCGCCGAACAGGTTGGATCACGAGCGCTTGACGGTTGAAGAGTCCACTCCTAAGACGGTCACTCTGACGGTCCATGGAAGAAGACCCATTTGCTCTATGAAAAGTGGGGCTTTCCACTTCCATGTTAGTGAGTATACGAGGGTAATCCGTTTTTGGGGCTTCGAGCGGCATGATGTGTTTGTTCGGGATGCAAAAAGCCTCTCGAAAGTTGTCAGCGTCAGCTTTGCATGGATTTTTGTTGTCCATACGGTTGCCAGCAAGCAGGCTCAGACGGCAGTTGAAGCAAGACGTGCAGTCCTGGCTATTCTTCTTTGACAGAACTTTGAATTCAGAAGGGCTGCCAGCTGGCAGCTCATCCATATCAATGGCTTGTATCCTGGCCGTCAAGGATGCTGACTCAGCCCGATTGTTTTGCTTGCAAGTTGTGTTCATGCCTGTCACGAATGAAAGACACCGCCTTTGGCACCGTTCGTGCCAGGCACCGTTTGCGCTCCGTTGGGATGACCCGTGAACAGGTTGGGGTTGGAGTTTATCGGTGATATCCTGGATATCTCAACCTTTTTGATTCCATATTATGGGACTGCGCTCAAAAAGCCCTACTCAAAAAGTATAGATAAACGTAAACTTTTAAGGTGGAGATGTGTTTTTAAGTCTTCGTTTAGAAGCGGGCCCCCAGCAGACTATGGTGATACAGCAAGGCAGCGCTAGATTGGCGCTAGGTTGGCGCTAGATTTCTTCATAACAGGATGAGCAAGCAGGAAAAAGAAACAAGCAGAGAGCAACAAAAAGAAGAAGCAAGGCAAGACAAATAAAAACAAAGCAGAAGAAGAAGAAGCATGCACAACCAAGAAGAAGACAAGCAAGCAGGAAAAGTAAGAATCTGACAGGATCAAGAAATCGACGGAGATTTTTGCGCTAGGCTGGCGCTAGATCCGCGCTAGCACCGCGTTAGACGACGGTCCATTTCTTGACCATTTGCCCATCCAACATCCAAATCTTTTGAGTCAGCTTTTACATCCTTCCTATGTCGTCCTGAAGATTTCTGAGAACAAAAATGGGCAAGACCAGCAGCAGCAGTAGCAGCAACAACAGCTCCAGCATGCTCCAGCAGCTCAACAGGCCCCTGAAAAGGTCCGCGCTAGACACCTCTCACAGTTTTTGCAGTTGACATGCCTTCATGCTTAACATCCCTGTAGTTTGAGTGTGGTTGGAGTTTAAAGGAGATTTAGAATCGGGCCCCCATGGAATTGCGATGAGTGCACCATTTTGGGAAAAGACATTTTGGAAACAAACCATATGATTCCAGTATAATTACATAATTACATATACAACATTACATATAGTGATATGATATATATATATATAAAGTACGAACAGCCAATGTTGTTTAAATTCATATTGTACGAATGGTCGTCGTTCGGTACTACCATATACTACCAAAAGAAACACCGCCGGGTCACGGTCGTCGACGTGTTCGCGAACCCAACCCACAGACCCATGGACGGGCGGCAGGCTCGGGTCCGGTTTTCTTTTTCAAGTCTTGGGGAGGTCCTATTCCAATATGAACTAATATATGCTAATATGAAGTCCTGGACTTCTGATACTTCTGGATTTCAGGCCTGAAAGGGCATCTCGAACCGCGTGAAGTCGCTGCGATTCGCTGAGCCGTTTTGGTCGGAGGCGCTGTTGCAAGAAGCTGGAGTTGCCCTTGATAGTCGAGTCTCTGCTTTGAACAGGCCAGTGATCAACGCTTTGCACATGTCCTCCCTTGGATTTATAAAAATATAAGCAGCTGTTTCAGGGCGCTTGCGGAACACCGTGTGATCCACCAGACGCTGCAAGGCTAGCCGGGCGCTAGAAACGCGTGCAAGTCCCACCACTGGGGTGTGGTGTGTGTGGTGCGTGCGGAGACCTTTGAGAATCCCTGAGATCTAAAAATCCTAAGACACTTGGATGGGTATAAAACGACCCTCAAGACGACTCATTCTCGTAGTCTTCGGACGCGACCACCAACTACGGTTCTGATGTTGGTGACCAAGTGACAGACTCAGCTTCTTTGCACACATGGATTTACATTTTCACCTGGTTGCAGGTAGCTTGGAACAAATCCGAAGCAAGGACGGGCTTGACGGCAGCTTGAACAGTTTGAGTTGATCTAAAAGATGCACATGGAATCACATGGACTGGATTCTCATGGACCAAAAATACTACCAGTGACGAAGTGTGAAGGCAAGTCAACTGTTCGATGATGTTTGCATAATTAATGAAACCTCAGACATGGATTGGAAAACCTTCTGGATATATTAATCAAGAGTCTACACAAGTGTATAGACGATTGATTCATGAAAGCCCTTACCAACCAAAAATTGACTGCCCTACATGCCTGGGCAGTTAGACATCAAGCCTTGACATAACCGATGGGACTGGAATATATGCCATGAACCGAGGTCAACCACCCCAATGGAGGTACAATATGGCATACATGCAGTTTGCGTGGGATGCGATGTCCCGACTACTTTCAATCAAAAGAACGATGTAGGTAGAAGATATTGGCCATGAAAAAAGGCTTTAAATGCCATAATGCATCCATGGACGTCAGATATGCAATTTGCCATGTAGTCTTTTAAGAAAACAGAACGGATGCATCCGAACGGTTTTTCGACTTCAGACGTCCATGCAGGCCCATGGCGACACCGGCGGCGACGCGACTCCCGTGACCGGAGTAGGTGCCACTGCAGGCGACCCGTGACCTGGAGGGGGCGGACTGGGAAGAGCCACCTCGCGAGGATGAGGAGAGGAAACGCTTTGGGTGCCATATTCTATACTTGTGCGTACTTGTTCATAGGTTGCTTAGCTTGCATTCTTCTTCACCTACCTTGAACACCTACCTTGAAGAAAAGTGGAGGTGCTGAAGCCAAACGCGCTGGTGGCTGGTCGTTATCTGGTCATCCACGGCACTGCACAGATGAAAAAACATGCCGTAGCCGAGGTTGGTGGACGGCAATAATAGGAGTATTTTACAATGTAAGAGCTGAGTATTTAATAGCCCTGGATGTTCCAACGACCAAAAAAAATTAGCAGGTTTGGTCGTTGACCGCGCAAACAGCGGCAAATCTGCGCAAACGACAAATGTTCTTCGCACAGAACCCTCAAAGGACCACACAAATCCGCAAAACAATGCAAAACAAACGATCAGATCTTTTTTGGTACCATGAGTATGAAATGCGTGGTAACAGATGACTCCAGCATTCAGACTCTGTATACTGTACTTGGTTTCCTTTAGTTGCTGTTTTAAACCAGACATACTTTCACTCAGAGGACCTATGGGCCGACAAAGCCACCCCCGTCGCTGCAACCCCCGACCTGGTCGGCGCAGGTCGGCACGAGCGGTATGAGATTCCTTTCAAGACTGAGGCGCAACGCGGCGCAACGCGGCGCAACTGTGTCAGAGAGTGACCCTCCAACAAGTTCCAATTGCACGCAAGGCTAGTACGTCAAAAGCCCAAAAGCGCAGCGTGCTGCGAATTGTTCATGCGTGGTAAAGCAGGGCACCACTAGTTTGAGAATGGTTGTTACATGGCTAAACGTGGCAACAGTAACTGCAGGCTTTTGTCAAGAAACAAGTTTGTGAAGCTGTCTTTGTGACAGCTGTGCTCACGCAGGACCTTGGCTTGCTCCAACGATGGTCCTGCTGCTTAGATGGGCACAGACCGAGGACAAACCAGTGTCCCCAAAGACAACATCGCACAAGCATGCAAAAACATGGCGGTATTAGACAGATGTTAGGACAGCGGAACCATCCCAAACAACAGTTGCGTCATGTTGCATCCGACACCCCACGGAAAGCCTTGCACCATCTCTAAACACCCCGGTTCCTCTCTGTCTGGGAGGGGGCGCACAGCCGGTCCAACCGCGCTCGGTCGGACAGCCCCGACCGCCCAGTTCAGGCAGCGCATCTTGGGACACGAGCTGGGCGAGCCCTCCAGGCGGGTTTGACGCCGCGGAGTGTGGAGCCACACGGAGTCACGGGGGCTTTGTTCCCAACAGGGGAAAACAGGGGTAACAGGTATATGAGACAAAGAACGTGTACTGATCTGTACTACCACAGTCCTGGGATGATCATGAACTTGGATGGAGTTGGCTCGAGATATTCAGTGTCATAGCAATGGGAGAGATTTCCAAGAATGGAAATAGTATAGATTGATGCTGAAGCGACTGAGTTCAAGCGCAGGCGTACGAAATCACCACATTCCAGAGCGAGAGGACAGTGATTCGTTGTGATTTGTTGGTGTTTTTGGAGGTCAAGTATTGGATATGTCTCATATCGTCTTAGTATGAAAGTAGCGCTTTTGTCAGATGCATCATCAAGCCTTGCTAAGGGTATACTGGTAGCATGGAGATGCATGGAGTGGACTTTGATTACAGAATCAACTCGTCAGGAGCCCGATCCAACTCGCCACTCAGCAGTGAGACTCTTACGAATACTCGTGGCATGGCCCGACCTGTGCATACATGTGAACCCGTTTCCTCCGGCATCGCACAGCGATGCAACATCCAGGTCGGCGCAGTCGCAGCTACCGCGAGGCGCCGGACTCTTTTGAGGTCAGTCGAAGGGTTCGAGGTCGGTGGTTCTGTGATGATGGGCATGTGATGGGCATGAATGATGTGTTGTTGTTTGTTTGGTAGAATCTCCCCAGGACGAAGGACTTCTTTGGAGCATGTCTGAAAGGAAATGGGCTGTTAGAAACTCCCGAGATCAATTCTTTGAGGGCCATGAGCTTGCATCAACATGCATTTCTTAGGGTGAACTGATGTGAATGTTATTGCTGGATCAATGTTATTGATGAACTGATGTGAGCATGCCATGTCGCAAGCGTTGCTTTCAACATTTGACACACCAGGCAGTTGATCATCATTTGAATTGGCTGCAGAACTTCTCGCGCCAGGTGCATCCTGCAGTAGGTTATGCTTGTTTGCTTGTCAAATCTGTTCAAGGTTTGAAACGATTTCTTGATGGGTCAAGACCTCTTGCTGTTCACCTGACATACACTGGCATCAGCTCACTGCTTGTTTCTTGAGGCCGGTCCGCTGACTGCCCGGAATTATTCAGGCCACGTTTACCGTTCACCGGTCGTTCCACCGGTCGTTCCCGGCTGAGTCGTTTCGGATGATGCGCACGGGCCCCGGATGAACCGTGATTCTTCAGCTGTCCAGCTTCGTGCGGAACCGCGTTGAGAACCACGTACTGTACCGCGATGCGTTGAGAGTTCGAGTCGGTGCGCGGCCCTGGCAGGTTGGTAACATATAGCACGCCGTATTTAGGATCCTGTCCTGTCGTTTCACGATCTTGGAGATGGCATGAGATGGCCACGAGTTCGGTTTAGAAGTCTCTGGCTGTGTACCGTTGACCAAAGGTGTCAAGAGCAAAAAATTGTACGAATTGATTGACCTTCTTAGGAGGTCATCGCAGCAGAATGGGTGTGCGAGCAAAGAAAAAGCTGTTGGAGATGGGGCGAGAGATTGTGTGGCGTTCTTCATATTTCAGAACTGAATTTGTTTGACTTGAATACAAATCTTACTATCCGGCCACTCTCTGAAGCTCAGGTTTTGGCATTGGCCACAACTAGATAATCATGAATGTGCACATCCCAGCAGAGGGTTTGTGATTATGAAGTGAAAGGAGTGCAAACAGACACTGACATGTCACATAGCACCACATGAAAGGTCTTTCACTGGCTCTTCTCACCTGCACATTTCCAGGCTTCATGTCGTTTCAGCCATGCCAGGGGCGCCAGCCACTTTCAAGTCCAGCACCTCCGGGATTTGACGTCTCCGAACGCTTGGAGAACTCGATCCGGAACGTTCATGTGCGGAACACCTTCATCGAGGTGGACGAGGACGAGCCTCATGCCGACTTAACACTCTCAGGTTTGGATTTGCATAACGCACCAGGGCGCACTTGGCGCCGTGGCCACTTGAGATGTGCTTCAGAGCCGATGTCCTTCTTTTTGTCTCAACCTCCGTGGGAGCCAATGTCTCTTTCACCGCCGCCTTTTTCGATGAGTGGAACACTCGGAAGTGGTGATTCACGCCCAGTCGGCGCCGAAAGGGGCAGAGCATGCACGACACAAAGGTCCTTGAACCAGTCTTTGGTTGCCACCATTCAGGAATCTCTGGACGAATATGAACACTTGAGGCATTCTTTGCCCCAATATGTGAAGACTCCAACTCAGAGTCCACCTCCCTGGTCCAGGGCCCCGATGCTCATCGATCCAGCTTGCGAGATCCCCAGCTTGACCCAGACGCCCGAGCCCGAGGAGCTCGCGCGAGCCGAGTGGTTGGACTCCATCCCAACCCGACTCGCGCTGCAACCGACGCGATTTCGACATGCCCGACAACGGTCGCGCACCATCCAGGAAGACAGTGAACTTGAGAACGAAGAGGTCGCGCCCCCGTCTTTTGAGCCCAAAGAAGTGGGGACTTCTCCTTGGGACTCCTGGGACACGACACCCGTGAATGTGCGTGTGCGCAACACCTTCATCGAGGTGGATGAGGGATCGGTGGCCTGCTTTTGCTTATAGGAATATGTTAATTTCTCTATGTTTGTCCATGATGTTCCCCTATGATTCAATCATCCCCTTATTCTTCTGAATATGTGTTTAATTGTTTTTGTAATATATGTTCTTTTTGTTTTAAATATTTTAGTTGTTTTAATGGTTTTTTTGTTGTTTCTTCGTTGTTTTCTGTTTCCCTGGGAGCCATCATTTGTGGGACCCAAGGATGGTTGCACCGATCCCTCCGACCCACGGATGTTCGGGTCCGGACCCCGCCGGATGGGCGCCGGGCACCTGAGATGTGCCTCCGAGCCGACCTTTCTGGCGGGGTCGGATGGGCGCCGGGCACCTGAGTTGGGTGGCTTCCATTCAAGAAGTAGCAGCTACCATGACGACAGCGTGGAGCACGAGATTCTGCGGGGGAGTGAGTCCCCAGAGGTGCGTGGTCAGCAGAACCATGTGCAGAACGAGGTTTTTCCATTTCGTGGCGACACGGTTTCGGGACCAGTACCAGTCCCAAACCCGCGAGAGCAGCGAGGGCTGCATTCAATGTCATTTCCCCAAAGATCTCAAGATCACTTCACTCAAATGCCACACCAAAGCGCAAAGTCCTCCGGACTGTGCAAGTGGCACAGCCGTGGAAGCTGCAAGTATGGGGACTCCTGTCGCTTTTCTCACACGAGCTCGCAGAGCCACGCGCAGAGCCACGCACAGAGCCACGCGCAGAAGCCCAAGAAGAGCGACAAAGGAGAGGTCCAACGATCAAGCCCTTCAGGCCCACTTCCGGCAGGTGCGGTGCCAAGCACGTGCCAAACCGTGTTGGTCGGTGTTTTTTTCCAGACCGGTGTTGGGGGGAGGGGCCGGCCCCAAAAGGACAGCCTAGGGGCCAAGGGCATCGAAGATCAAAGAAGGACTTGAACATCTTGAAAAGCCTTTTTTTGAGTTTGGACAGCTCCTGGTGCGTCTTCAGTTATTGTTTTTGTTGAAGTACTTTGCTTTCAATTGTTTTCATGTGCACTTGAAGATTCATTTATGTATGCGGCATGCGGATGTGTAGTGAGTGTATATAGATAATGATGATGGGTGTTTGTGTGCGAGAAGAAGGAACTCATTCCAATCTGACAGGTCCTCTTTTGGGGGCCACTCCTTTTCCAGTCGGTGCTGTGAATGCACAGGCAGGAGCTTTGAGATGGTTGCTTTGAGAGGAGCCAGTCTCAACTCTTTAAAGTTGTCAAAGTCTGTTGGTGGCTATCAGATATGTTGGGACCTTCAGGATTCTCTCTGACGATCCATTGAACAAGGGCTCACAGGCCACAGTTCCTGGGCCTCACCCACCTGGCCAGGCCAAGCCGCGACCTGCGCAACACAATGGGCAAGGGTGGGGAGGCCAAGGCAAAGAACTCTTCACTGTGGTTTAGCAAGCGATTAACAAAATCAGAGGGGACATGTAAGCGATTTTCATTCATGTTCCCGACCGAGAAGGAGCAAACGATCCGGAATTGTAGTCATCTGAAGCAGACGAAGGACTACAGTCTACAGATGACTACCAGCACCACCCAATGAGTGGTTTATAGACCCCCCTGAAGATGTATGTTCAATCCAAAAACCACCCTTTGAGAGGCCCTGGTATATATGTTTCTATATTATATGGACCGATATGGACTTCCTCTTTTGGGCAAAGTAGGCCCAGTTTCTGCTCCTCCAAAGCAGGTGCTTCCTCGCTTTTCCAAGGCAAACCATCGGCCGCCAGTGCCGAAGTGCTCGGACCTGAGAGTCTCGCACTGCGCAGAGCGCGCGAGACTCCTGCGCACTCCTGGGGCATTTTGGGTCGCGGAAGTGGAAGGGGAGGGAAGCAGACTCTGGGGAAGGGGCCAACTGTTCCTGAAAAGGATCGTACTCTAGTTTGGAGCCATAGCCAGTCGTGTTCCTCCCAAGATTCGACGAAACCCAGGATCCAGGCCAAACCGAAGAGATGAGTAGGAGATGCTTTCACGAGGCTTCACCGCTTCATTGCCGGCGGCAAAGGTGAGCCCTGTCAGCACCACCGCGGGCAGCAGCGATGGTGCCGATGGCAGCAAGGCTGTTCGAGTCGTTGACTTCTGTGACTTCTGACGGGCAACATCACAATCTCTTGTGTCTTTCGGGCAAGAAACACTTGTGTCTTCCGGAAGAAAAAGGGTCTTCCTGAACACGCCAGGCAAGAAGCTCCCAGAGGCACGCCAGGCAAAAGTGCCATTTCGATTGAAACTCCGACGCCCCCTCGTCTTCGTCCACAGGAGTTCATGCGAGAAGACCCACCAGGCGGCGTGCTGTTAGAGAAGCGAGCATTATTTTTTCATTGTCATTGCATGTCATTCTTGAGCTTGGTCAGTGTGTTTTCTTTATGGTTTTCTCCGAATCAGCGAGTTGGTCTCCTTCATGATCATCCATGATCGTCAGGTCTTTTGGTGTGATGCCAGGGCGTTCAAGCAAGAGTTTCAAGGGTCAGGAGCTTACCAGTCAGGCCCACCCTCAAGGGCCCTGGCGGCTCACCAGTCAATCACCAGTCCGGCCTCACCGGTTCAAGGCTCAGAGAGGAGCTTGAGAACGCCATCGGTGTCGCCGCGAAGGCTGCATTTCGGGAGATGGACGTGGACGTTCGATGGAGAGCGATGCAGTCGGAGTCGGCTTCCGGTGAAAAAGAGACATGAAACGAGCGAACGATGGTTTGAGATTCTGCGAATGATGCCCTGAAGATAGACAGGGTTTAAACGGGTTGACCTACCAAGTCAACGTCAGTAATTACTTCGGTTCAGATGGCAGTCACTGTCTTGCAGTCGCATAAGACAGCCGAGAAGTGCATGCGCTTGATGGGGCCTCAGCTTGTTTTTTATTGTTTTCTTTCCTGAGAAATGCAAGTGGCCAATAATACCTGCCTTTGGCTATCAATGTTTCAGGCTGAAAAAGAGGCAGCGCGTGCAAGCTGAACGAGGGAGACGAGTTCAGAAGGCACAGAGTTGACGTTTGTGCGGTTTTTGCTTCACCCACAGTGTCCTCCACCTAAGGCTCGACCATTGATATTTCTCGTCTCCTGGGCCAATGCTCAGGAGCTAGTTCACACCTTACCACCACAAGTTGCAAACCACTGGTATGACGCTAGCACAAACACTTCACTGTGACATTGGTTTGCCCGCGAGATCAAGACGATGCCGAGGTAGATTTTTTACAAGAGGCACAACACATGCCACCAGTGAAGGCCAGGCCAAAACAGCAGTCAAGAATCATGTTTTGAAGCCCTTTGTGTTTTTCGTTCTTTGGTTTAAAACAGACATATTATAGCGGATATTGCATGTAACGTTTCTTTCTACAGTATATCAGTTATGCTTCAAAAAATGCTTGGAAGAGACACTCCCTTCCAGTTGTCTCGGTCTTGTCCATCTGGTGGTCTTTCTGCAAAGCAGCAAGGTGGTGGTGCTTTGTGACACCAACGGCCCGCGCACGCGAGCAACAGCCGAGAGGCGCCCAAAAGGGCCGATGAGGACAAGAATTCGAGCGCAAGAACTCAAGAACAAGAGTTCAGTTTAGAAGTCTCAGGATCTGGATTAGTTCTCCAAAAGTCTCAAGAACAGTGGGTCGTCGTCACACCATTTCTTGCGCATGTTCCAAAGGCGATGACCGGTCTCAGGTGGGCCCGAGAGATGCCAGTGGTGGAGGCAGTGGCAGCCACATGGCCCGAGGCGCCGTCGGCCCACTTCGCTGAGCTGCAGA